ATGACTAGTAAAGAGGCAGAAGCTGCCCTGCTAAGAGCATGCCAACTCCAGAGCTTTCCCGAAGAAGTTGCTGCCCTCAAGGCACAGAAATCAGTTCCTGCACACAGCCGATTAGTCAGCCTTGCTCCGGAATGGGATCCACTGAAAACCATGATAAGAGTTGGAGGCCGATTAAGGAGGCTAGCAAACTCAGACCCAGAACAAATCCACCCCATTGTGCTGGACCCAAGACATGCAGTAACGAAGCTCCTCATCAAAGAATTTGATGAGCGTCTGTTACACCCAGGAGCAGAAAGAGTCTACGCTGAAATACGTAGACAGTACTAGATTCTCAGAGGGCGTCAGGCCATAAAGTACCATCAACTTCACTGTCTGTCCTGTCAGCGATGGAGAGCTCAGCCAAAGGTTCCGCCAATGGCAGATTTGCCACCAGAACGCCTCCGACTGCTCTGTCCACCTTTCCACTCAACTGGTGTTGACTGCTTCGGCACATACCTGGTCAAAATAGGAAGGCGAAATGAGAAACGCTAGGGGCTAATTTTCAAATGTCTCACAACTAGGGCAGTACACATTGAGCTCCTCAATTCAATGGATGTAGATGCCTTCCTTCTTGCGCTCTGCCGGTTCATAGCCAGAAGAGGTAAACCACACGAGATCCGTTCGGATTGTGGCACTAACTTCCGGGGAGCTGACAGAGAATTGGGGGAAGCTTTCTCAATTATGGGGACAGAACTCAAAGCCCAGCTTTCAGACTATCAAATTAGCTTCAAGTTTAATCCACCCAGTGTTCCACACTTTGGCGGAATATGGGAGCGTGAAGTCCGTTCCATAAAAAATGCACTCCAGGTGGCTGTCGGAACCCAAGCTGTCACAGAAGATGTTCTATCCACAGTCCTAGTGGAAGTGGAAGGGATCCTCAATTCGAAACCACTAGGATATGACTCAACAGATGTCGCTGACATGGATCCGATTACTCCTAATATTCTCCTAATGGGGCGGCGGGATGCATCATTGCCTCAGGTGGCAAACGCTCCAGGAGACATGGGGCGACGGAGATGGCGGCACTGTCAGAGCATGGTAGACCAGTTCTGGATACACTTCACTAGAAATTACTTGCCTACGCTCCAGACCCGGCAGAAGTGGCATAAAGCTTCAAAGGTTTATATCTGTTGTTTTATTTATTTCAGAAACTACCTCAAATACACTAACATGTGTATATGGTCAAATCTTGTGCAATAAACGGTCAAACTCAATATGATGACTCGACTCCCTGACAAGAGTTCTGCAGCGGTCAATAATTATTAACCAGCATTCAGTGGGGCAGTCCCCAACACAGACAAAACAGAAATCAATTTTTTTGACCCTTCAGAATCCAGGCCAAAAATCACCTTGACCTTGAAACTTTAAATCAATTCATTTCTACCCATGTATGAAATCTAGGTGTGATGGTTGATAGTTGCCTCAAATTCGTCAAGCAGATTAGCGCGGTTATTGGGTTCAGCTTTTTCCATCTTCGTTCCCTATCGAAAATCAAATCCTTTCTTCCTAAACATTCCTTGGAGATTGCTATCCATGCATTCATTACCTTGGTATATCAAAGTCCCAATTGGCATGCTTACAGGTTGTTCAAAATGCTGCGGCGAGATTCCTGAAGGGAAGGAGGAAATGTGATCACGCTACCCCCCTTCTGAGATCTCTCCACTGGCTTCCTATTAATTTTAGAATTGAGTTTAACATTTTATTACTGGTGTATAAATCATTACATGAATTAGCACCTTCTTACTTGTCCGATCTACTTCACCTGTACTTTCCCACCAGAGGCCTTAGATCCGAAGGTAAACTCCTCTTGCAGATACCCAGAACCTGGCTAAAATCGAGAGGAAACAGAGCCTTTGAAGTGTCCGGCCCCACATTGTGGAACAAGCTCCCACTCTATATTAGATCGGCTTCCACTTTGTCTGAGTTCAAGTCATGTCTCAAAACTTATTTATTTTCTGTTGCTTTTAGTTTATAAGATTGTTTCGGTTTTACTGTTTTGCTATTAGTGTACTCAACTTTTTTTTTAATTTGATCTCTTCTTGTACAGCACTTTGGTCGGCCTGCAGCCATTTTTAAATGTGCTCTATAAATAAACCGAACTTGAACTTGCACTTTGTGCGGTAGCGATGAACTAAGATGAATAATTATAAGGGAGCACTCTTTGTGCCATAGCAATGGATGGCTTATATATATATATATATA